TGTCGCTGCTCCTCTTCGAAAGCTGCTGCATCCTCCTCCTTCACAACCTCCTTCTGGAAGCCCTTTAGCAGAGATCCAGACGGAGATGCACCCACTTAGAGGGAGACAGGGCATATGGCCCCTGGCCATGTGCGTTGCTGGTGTCCTCTGTGTAGGCATTGCCCGCACAACATGGCTTTTCCTCCGGGTTTCTGCATGCAAGTTAGCAAGTGAGGGGCCCAAAGGGTACCTGAAGCATGCCCAAGACCTCCTAGGGCATAGATTTTGTCTAATAGGTGAAGTTTTAGGGTGGTCAACCGATAGTGGAAAGCGCCTTGGAGACATCTGTTAACAAACACCTGGCAGGGAAGGGTGCTTACAGTGCATACCGTCCCTGTTGAAACACCTGTATGAGGCAGGTAGCAGTCTGAGTTTCTGCTGTTACTCGTTTGACCAAGAGGCCGATTCGGTTGAAAACTGGTTTTCTTTTAACCCAGTACTTGTCCTTGGTAAACTCTCTCTGGTGAGGGGAAAGAAACTTCCAGCCAGAAGATGAAATGGCACCTACGCAGTAGTTTACTTGCCCGGTTCACTTCAACCTCTCTTTGCTTTCGTCCACTACTCTCATCTCTTCCTTCTTACGCACTGCATTCTGAAAGGGGCAAACTTAAATTTAGGAAGCTAATCAAATCACAGTGGATAACTATTTAGTTTTAAATAATTCCATCCTTTGCTTCCTTTGTAATTTATGTGACATTATTACACAATGCATTACCCAAGCAAAAGGGAAAGAGCCAGCTTAAGGAGTGGGAAAGCAGCACTGAATTATTCTCGGTCCTGCAAAGAATGTAATTAAGAGTTTCTTAGGTCAGCTCTCTTAGTCCAATGAAACTTTCTTCTCTGTTCCTGCATGAACGCTAAACATCGTCCACACTCAAGGGTGACCACTAAACTATGCGACCGCTCCGCCTATGAACTAGGCAGCCTCTGAGGCTGGCTATGACATTATCCATCTCTATAGGATCACTAGAGTAAGGCTGTTGTTGGAGAAGAAGCTTTGGATTCACTAATTCCTGCAAGAGAAGAGATGGGGAGGAGGGAAAGGTGACCCCCCCAACTAAGATACCAGTGGCACAGACCTTTGCTCCTTGAGCGCAGGCTCCTGACATGAGGGTGGAGGAGAGGGGAGTTTCCTCTGCTCACCACATGGTGATCACAAATGTCACCTACAGACAAAAGAAAATGAAAAGGAACGGTAAGTGAAACATGGGCAATGGTTGAGTCCCTGGAAAATGCACATTAATCAGCTGACAGCCTTCAGCTTGACTGCAGTGAAAGTTCGTTTCTCATGGCAGGGCTAACTTTGGGACCAGTGCTGGGAAGCAGGGCTGGCAGCGATATTTAGGAGCGACAACTGCATGAGTGTATTAAGAAACCGAGTATTCAAAAAACCTCCTAACGGACCCGTAAATACCCAGCTGAGCTGTTGGTTTAACCGCTCACAAAGACACTGCCTGACTCTCTCAAAACCCCGTGTTTCTGAAGTTTTGGAAGCGATTGTGAATACTTCCCTGCCTGCTCACAGCGACGTTTCCTCGGCGTTAGCTCATTAGAGTGCCTGAAAGAGACCCGACAGAAAATAAGTTAAAGGCAACTTAAATCATCATCCAATTCGACTCTAAAACCAGCAAGAAAGGCGAGGCGTTCACCAAAAGGTTGCAAAAGGCGTTTAGCATCAGCCGCTCCGCAGTTATTAGGAGCGCGGGGAAAGGGACTGAGGGATGTGAGAGGGCAATGTGGCTGGGATCCCAGTCCCCAGTTGTTGGGTTGAGGGGGTTTTTCCCTTTTTTTCCCTTTTTTTTTTTTTGGTGACTTCGAAAGATGTCACGGCAAAGTGAAATCTTTGCAGAGGGCTGCTCATGCATTCAGACTGTAGAGTTTTCAAAATGTGATGTTTTGCAATGATGACATTAGAGTAGCAACCAAGGGTCCGAGACAGCAACGCCTGCTGCAGCTGGGCTTCGCTTTGAAATGCCCAAGACAATGGGGGCCACTGTTCTCCATCGCTTCGCCTTTCCATTCCATTTGCATAGTCTGTTCTGCCTGATTGACCAGCTTGGGCTGTCCAAGGGACCAGCATTGTTCCCAGATCACTTCAAGATGGCACAGATGACAAGATTCAGGTGAGAGATGAAGTGGGATGATTCTCAAATGCCATAAGAAAAAGCTACCCTGGGAACTTTTAGCGCAAGAGAAATAGTTCGAGAATTGAAGCAGTTAAAGGATTTTTTTTTTTTTTTAAGAAACTGATCGTATTTGGAAATATGCTGCCTTGACACACAAACTAGTAACAGGAGGTTTGTGTGTTTCGTTGCGGTATTTGGTTTGGTTTGTGTTGGGTTGTGTTGCGGGTTTGGGTTTTGGGGGGCTTTGGGGTGTTGTTTGGGGTTTTTTTTTCCATCCCAGACCTCACCTTCCCCCGGCTAAGATGGGAGCCGTGCCATTGGGAGCCTTTGTGAATCAAAGTTCCCTCCCTAAAAATCATAAGGCGACAATAAATAAAGCTCATCGCAGAGGCGAGTTTCGAAATCCCTCGGTGCCTGCTCCGTAACTAAGTGCCAGGATTAATTAGTTAATGTTCATAAAAGCGCTTTCGACGTGGAAAACCCTCCCAGAGATGCAAAGAGCGGAGGAAGAGCCGTGAGCCAGCCGGGGCGGCGGGCAGCGGGGGGAGCCTGGCTGGAGCAGCCCCCCCTGCCCGGGAGAAGCTGCAAACTCCCCGCTGGCCCAAATGTCATGGTTTGGGCTTTTTTTTTTTTTTTTTTCCCCCCCTTCCCTCCCCACGCAGGTACTCGAGTAAACACACACACGGCAGCGGCCCCTAAAATGAGTTTCACTTGGCACCGATGTTTTGACTTCATCTCAAAAAGACAAAATCTTTGTCATACAAGTATGTTTTCCCTGGAGGGGTTTCCAGCACAATTTGCTATAATTTCTTTACACCTAACGGAACTGATGGGATCTGAGCAGTAAAATATATTCCCACAGTAGTTTCGCTCGCTCGCACACTCCGTTACCCTCCTGGGGTTCAGCTCACTCTCTAGTATAAATATTGCCAATAATTGTGCTAATACGGTGATTTCGCAGAAGGGAGCAGAACTCGCTCCTCCTCGTACCGCAGACCTGCAGCCCCGCGACTTCTGCTTCATCTCCCGGCGTATTCTCTCCTAGCTGCTCGTCTTTCCCCTGCAGCGACTAATGCACTTAATTACATGATTTACAAGAATTGCCAACAAGGTCCCAGGGGCTGCTAAAGCCCGACACACACACACAACCCCCCCCGGCGAGCAGGGCGTAAGGTGCGCGCCTGCCCGCGCAGCACGGGCACCTCGGAGGGAAGGGAAGGGCGGTGGGCAGGACTCGGCTCTTCAAAATTACCCAAAAGTTCAGGCCCTTCTGCACTGTTTCACCCCCCCACACACACCCCTTTCCTCTTGTCCCAGGTTGGGGCGGTCGGGGTTTTTTTCCCCTCCCCGGAGAAGGGGGTTAAAAGCTGCCGAGGAAACTTAAGTGGCTCTGGAGTTTGTTTAATTTCCCTCCAGTGTTTACTGATAATTCGAGAGACGCTTATCTCGGGGAATATAACGATTAATACAACCGCAGGTTTCCAGATAAGTGATTGTGATGGAGATTGTTGGCGAGAAAATAGACAATTATCCGCTGTTAGCTTTACATAAAGATCGCATTAACTTGAATTAGTTATCAGACAAAAGAACATCAGAAAGCTGCACCTTTCTGCCAAGGCAACCGCTCGCAGGCGGTGCGCTCCGCGCAAGCAAAAACCCTCCCCAGCATCTCGCCAGCGTGGAACTGGGGGGGGACACGGGACCCGGGGGGGGCCCACGGCGGAGATACGCCACGCTCCTGCGGAGGGCGAGCCCCGGGGCCCGGGGATCGCTTTAATCTCTCAGCTGCCCGGCCGGGCCGCTGGTATTTCCAGCGGGGGAGAGGGAAGGGGGATCGCTGGGGCGGGGGGCTGCGCGGCCCCGGGCAGAAGCGGCGGGGCTGATCGCCAAGGAAACCTCGCTGAAAGGGAAGGGGAGAGCATGTGGCTATTAAAACCCCGACACAATAATAACATTAGGGGGAGAGAGAAGGAGGGAAAAAAATAAAAAGCCATAATGATAACTTGGAGGCAGCTCGGCATTTGCATATGAAACCAGCGGCCAGAAGCGCGGCAGTCCCCTTGCCGCATTATGTGCTCGGCGGTCCGAGGTCCCCCCCCCAAGGCTGAAAAGCCTTTTGATTATTTCTCCTCTCCCTAGGAAAGGCTGATTCCTCCGTAATTGATAGCGGGGAAGGGCCGTAATTAATTTCGCAGCGAAGTAAAGTGCAGCTTCTTCTCCCGGCTGGAGGGGAAGGGCTAGGAGAGAGGAAAAGAGGAACTCCCCCCGAGAACCCCCAGTTAAAGGAAATCACGCTTCACCCTCTCCGGCACCGAGACCCCCCCCCGGCTCCCCGCCACCCCCTGGCCCCC